AAAGAGTCATTTCCGTGCGAGAGCAGACGACTTGATTACAAGTCTGAAGGCCGGCTACAGATCTGTCGACCTCACATAATGTATAGTGGTATTCGATCGTGCTAATCGATGCTTTAAATTGTTCGCCGAATTCAGCTCCATCACTCAAAAGGAAAGGAAGATTCGAGGACTTGAATATTTGGTCAGCAAATAATTTTAATGAGCTGTTTGTGTCACAATTTATGAGTACTGCAACATCGGCCACTGCCATAACAAACAATGTTTACTCCGTTTGAGAACAGAAAATAACATCGTTCGCGAGTGTGGAACTAAAAATAAAGACTTACTTATCAGAAATTGTAAAATTGCGCTTTAGACGATTGAGGAAAGAGGCTTTGGCTAGCTTTTAAGCATTCAAAAACATGACATTGTCACATAATCTTGAACGTGTAAAACCAAATTTGACATAATATCGAAGAAGTAACGCGCGCGTTCGGAACGTATCATCAAAATCGAATCATCGATCTAATATCATGAATTGTGCTGACTATAAATGGCAAATTGAAGAAAATTGCAGAAAAGGAGCTCATAAAATAAATGATCTTAATTGAAATTGCCCAGAAAAGGAGAAAAAAAACTCAATCAGTTCAATCAAAGTTGTAAACTTCTGGCATTCAAAATTTTAATATTCCGCTTAGTTCTCATTCGCAATTGAATGTAAACAATAAATTTCTAGAGACAAATATCGCCGTAAAATCCCTCGCTATTGTACTCCAAATTAATTTTACGGTTAAAACGATGCCTATCAGTTTTCCTGCTCACGTAACAAGATAAGAAACAAAACTGAAGTTCATTCAAATATCACATTGCTTATATAAAGCAAGCAAGACAACTGAAGACGATTCAGTATACTTCAACTGTGAAAATCAAACATAACCTCGAAAATTTAAAATATTGGACTTAAAATTCTGCGAAAAGATAAAGGGGCACTTACTTTCCAGATCTGTTATATCCTTGATGACATCGTATGATCCAGAGAGCTGAAAACTCCTTCGCATCATCTTAATATTTTCAAGCGCACTTTATACATGTAAATCACTCAAATCAGTACAAGTTTGCCAAGGACAAGCGCAACCGATTGTCGCTACAAAGAGCAGATTCGCGAACAGTAAACCTTGTACAAGAGTTACCATCGAAAAATCGAAAGTTTGAAGAAAATATTTCTCCTGTTCACAGACGTCTGGACTCTGCAGTTTGTTCAAAACTCTCCTCCTTCTGTACCACAAAAGAATAACTACGTATTGTACTCGGTCTCCGGCCCAGTGAATGCGAAGTCGTTACATGAATGCAATTCTGTACCCGCCTTATTTTATTGGCGCGGGCAGCTTCACCTATATTTCCACCTCTCTGTCGCGGCGAACGCTAAGCGGAAAATCTCTTTCAGTGTCACCGTTTCCTTACTTAACACTGTAAGAAATATAACACGGATTTTTCTTTCTGAAGAAGTGACAAATTTGCAGCATTCGCTCTTTAGCACGAAATCGGTCAGCGGTCGACGGTGAAATGACAACAATAATTTTCGCGTTTCGGATTTCCTGAATATTTGTTCTTGCTGCTGGTCGCCTTCACAACGATAGGAAAATTCCGATATTATTACGAAACCACTTAACTGCAAGTTACCAATGTTTTGATTCTTGAAATCTCTCTTATACCCTTGT